GAGGAACCTGTACATAGATTAAGAGGCAGTCCTTTGAACAGAACAAGGGGATATGTGTGGTTTAAAGTCAGGAAAGGTGTATGTCAGGGTTGTATTCTTTCACCATACTTATTCAATCTGTATGCTGAGTAAATAATCCGAGAAGCTGGGCTATATGAAGAGGAATGTGGCATCAGGATTGGAGGAAGACTAATTAACAACCTGCAACATGCAAGTGACACAACCTTGCTTGCTGAAAGTGAAGAGGATTTGAAGCACTTACTGATGAAGATCAAAGACGACAGCCTTCAGTATGACTACATCTTAACACAAAGAAAACAAAAATCCTCACAACTGGACTAATAAGCACCATGATAAACAGAGAAAAGATTGAAGTTGTCAAGGATTTCATTTTACTTGGATTCACAATCACTGCCCATGGAAGCAGCAGTCAAGAAATCAAGTGACATATTGCATTGGGCAAATTTGCTGCAAAAGACTACTTTAAAATGCTAAAAAACAATGGTGTCACTTTGAGGACTAAGATGAGCCTGACCCAAGCCATGGTATTTTCAATTGCTTCATATGCATGCAAAAGCTTGACAATAAATAAAGAAGGTTGAAGAAGAATTGATACGTTTGAATTACAGTGTTGGTGAAGAATATTGAATATACCATGGACTGCCAAAAGAAAGACCAAATCTGTCTTTTAAGAAGTACTACCAGAATGCTCTTAGAAGGGAGGATGGTGAGATTTTGTCTCACATACTCTGTACATGTTTTCAGGAGGGACCTGGAGAGGGACATCATGCTTGGTAAATTAGAAAGTCATCAAAAAAGAGGAAGACTCTCAACGAGTTGGACTGACACAGTGGCTGCAACAATGGGCTCAAGCACAGCAACGATTGTGAGGATGGCGCAGAACCGGGCAGTGTTTAGTTCTGTTGTACATGGGGTCACTATGAGTTGGAACTGACCTGCCTGCACCTAACAATAACAACGACAACAATACCTGTGAGTAGGAGCCCTAGTTGGCACGTGGTTAACCAAAATTTCAGCCGTTCAAACTCACCAGCCACTCTAAGGGAGAAAGATGTGGCAGCCTGCTTCCATCAAGACTTACAGCCTTGGAAACCCTGTGGGTTAGTTCTACTCTGTCCTAAAGCGTCCCTACGAGTCAGAATCAACTCAATGGGCAATGGGTGTTGTTTTTGGGTTTATACCTGTGGTTACAATCCCATTTGGGAATAGGTTTTCTTGGTTATGTTAATGAGACAGTATTAGCGTACAGCGAGTCTTGAGTCAATCTCTTTTGATATAGACAAGGAACGGATTAAGGAAGGAAGCAAAGAAGTGGAGAAGGGCGAAGATAGATGCCAAGCCATATGACAACACCAAGGAGCCCAGGAAGAGAAGCTGAAGAGACTTCTTCCCCGAGAGCTGACAGAGAAAGAAAGCCTTCCTCCAGAGCTGGCGCCCTAATTTCGGACTTCTAGCTTCCTAAACTGTGAGAAAATAAACTTCTGTTTGTTAAAGCCAACCACTTGTGTTACTTCTATTACAGCAGCACTAGGTAAAAAAGACCCCCACCCTTATAGACGCCTCCTCTGATCAGGGCTGAGTGGTTTGACACAGGGGAACTGGGGGTCACGAGGCTATGATTTCAAGAAACAAGAAGTCTGAGGAGTGAGAAGAAAGAGGGAAGGAAGGAGAGAAATTTCCAGGCGAAACGGAAGAAAGAGCTTATTCCTTCTGTGGCACAATGGCCCGTGCTCACTAAATATCCATAGGCTTCTCCAAATATCCCACCCCCCAGCTCAGAGTGGTGTCACGTGACTGATTCTTGTCAATAAAACTTGAGCAGAAACAATACATCACATCCTATGTGAAAAAGTGAAAGTGGTGTTCCTTCTCCAAGATTGCTCTTTGCTCGGCTACTCTGACCTTAACGCTCATTTGCCACAGGTTACGTCACTACGAGATGGATGCGAACTGAAAGACACAACCTGGATATTAGAGGACGATGATATAAGCACTGTGTGTGTGTGTGTGTGTGTGTGTGTGTGCGTGTGCAAAGCCACTGTGGTTCGCGGACTTAGTGTTACCAGAGTACAGCTGAGCTTAGCTAACGCTCCTTATTTATCCATCTGGGATAACCACTAATAGGAAAGAAAAGGGTGCTAATCAAACCTATGGATCAAAGGTTGCCTGGCTTAGGACAATAACATCTCATCCACAGCTTCTAATCCAAGGTTTGAAACCATCTCAAAGTCACTGCTTCCTGTGTCTCCCTTTAGAAGATATAACACTGTTTAAAAGATATCAAAACAGTGTATCCTAGCTACCCTGAAATCTACGCCTGAATGATGCTGCCCCAGCAGAGCTACACAGTTTACATTGGTCACCTTGTGGAATCACGGCGAGCTCAGCATGAGGCCACTGGATCTAGGAATGCTACCGAAACAGATGTGTGAATCTCACTGAAGGATCCACAGTACAGAATTTGTGGAGGGCTGCTCATTACATTGTACAGTGTTCTCGGGATAAAGGTCCTCTGGAGAACGTTCTTTCTTGTCATATAGCATCAGGAACAGTTATTCTTCTCCTGTAAAATAAGATAGTAATTTGTCGGAGTAGTAAATTAGGAAACACATTTTAAAAGATTTAAAATGATTCCTGGAACAGTTGCCGTCAAGTCGATTCCAATTCATGGCAACCCCATGTGTGTCAGAGTAGAAATGTGCTCCACAGGGTTTTCAATGGCTGCTTTTTCTAAAGTAGATTGCCAGGTCTTTCTTTGAAGGAACTCTGAGTGCACTCAAACCTCCAATCTTGCAGTTAACAGCTGAGAACATGAACCATTTGCACCACCCAGGGACTCTGCCCGGGACAGAGTAGGCATCTAATAAATGTTTGCAGTTATTCAGAATTTTAAAAAAATATTAATTGAGCTATAAACTGTGTTCATGCTCAATATGTTGGCTAATAAGCAAAAAGCAAAGCTGAAGCCAACTCACAGAAAATCCATCTTCTGTCTCCGACTTTGCTCTTTGTTCTTTATTCATCCTCTTCCAACATATGTAACTTTGCTGTATTTTATCTATGCTTTTAAGCTGCTCTAAATTCTTTCCAGAGCTCTGTAGGCTATAAATAAATAAAAATTAACAGAATAAACCCTAGTTCCTTTACTTACCTTCCATTAACATTTGGAGAGGGAAAATGAAACAACGAAAGCTTATGCATATAAATAGAATGCTCTTCATTATAATATTCTCCTTCTTTCCTACTGATACAAAAGGTGACAGCCTTAACACCTAGGACTGGGGGAACACACAGTCTCCAACTAGGCTCCGTAACTGAGTTTAACTCTGACACCTCAATCAAAACTTTACAATAGGGCATGCTTTCCAGCTAACCAGTCTTCAAACCACTCATGCTGACAACATCTCGAAGCTCACTCTGTTCGTGGGTCTGAGACACATAAGGACTCTTTGGATAAAAGCTGTAACTGTAGTGGCCATTTTCCAAATAAATCCTTAGGACCCACTGTGTGATAATATATTAAAATGGTTTGAGAAATCTGGGCTGTCCGGTCATCATGCTAACAGACATAAAACATTATTGCTCCTAAATTCAGAGCAAGTTCAGTTCTGTTCCACTTGATAAATAGCTGCAGTCTTTCGTTCCCTGGGCATTGGGCTTGGCTCCGGGGATCTAAAGATAAATAGGGTATGAGCCAAACCCTCCAAGTTTCCATAACTGGGTAGAGAAGATAAACTTCAATAACTATGCTGTATTACTAAACACTCTTCATTGTTTTCATAGCACTTATCACAAGTAGTAATTACACATTTATTTGTTTGCTTACATGTTTACTTTCTGCCTCCTCCATTAGGCCATTAGCTCACTGGGGCAAGGATCACGACTGGTTTGTGAGTTCAGTGCTACTACAGAGCCTATCACAAGGTGAACACTCAAACCTTTTCTAAATAGTAATGTAATCATACATAAAATCAATAGAAATCAAGAGCTTTCATGTATACAACCACTTAGAAGATGTAATGGAAAAGATTCAGTTGTAATAGCAACAACAATAATTCTAAAAAGAATGAAATAGGAATAAATTTAACAAGGGATGTGCAAATTCAACATGAGAAAAATTGTATAGATTCCTGAAAGTCACAGAAGAATCAAACAAAAGGAAAGACATGCCCACATGTAGATAAAAAGAATTAATGTTATAAAGATGTCAATTCTCCTTAAGTTAATTCATAAATTTAGCAATTCAAATTAAAATTTTTTTTTTAATTTATTCTAGAATGAGACCTGCTACTTGTCAAAGTTTATATGGAAAAATAAACTAGCAATAATAACCAGGAAATCTGTGAAATAGAAAAGTCTTATTAGACAATAAGCATCTTATAAAACTTCAATAATTAAAACAGTGTGGCATGGATATGTGCAATAGGCCAAAAGAGAAGATAAATTTGAGAAACAGATCCCAATCTATGTAAGAACTTAGTATATGATGAAGGTGGTGCTTTAATCTATAATGGCAAAGATGAACTTTAATAAATAATGTTGAGACAACTGATTAGCCATTTGGAAAATGATACAGTTGGATTCACAAATTATACCATATTCAAAAAAAAAAATTCAAATGGATTAATGATTTAGGTGTAAAACGTAAAATCATGGCATGATTGAATTCCTTTACAACCTTGGAATGGAGACAGCCTTTATAGCTATGAATCAAAAACCAAAAGCCAAAAGAGAAAAGACTGATAAGTTCAGCCACATAAAATTCATAAACACCTTAAGGGTAAATTGGAGGAAAATATTTGTAATTCATATCATAGACAAAGGGCTACTCTCCCTAAGATAAAAACAGCCCCTGGAAATTTAGAAGAAAAATAACAAAAAGCTAGTAGAAATATGGATAAAAAACTTCAACGGGCAGCTCACCCCTCAAAAAAAAGCATACGTCCATTAAACGTACAAAAATCCTCAGAATAAAAAACAGGCAAATTAAAGCTACATTTCACAGCGACAGGCATAATTCTAAGATGACCCCGTGCCTCCACCCCCTAGTGCTAAGTTCTGTGTATTTCTTCCCCTTGAGTGTAGGCAGGTCCTGTGACTTGCTTCTAATCAAATAGAACATGGTGGCAGTGATGGGTATTATTCCCTTGATTAGGTTATGTTATGCGGCAGATGTGATGAGACAACGTTCTGTGATCATATTACATAATAGAAGACCCCATCATAGCGGACTGGAGTGCTCTCTCACTGGCCTTAAGGAAGCAAGCTGCTGTGAGGTGAACTGCCTATGGTTGGGGGGTCACATGGTAGGGAGCTCAGGGCAGCTGCCAGGAGCTGAGGACCTCAGTCCTACAACCACAAGAACTGAATTCTGCAAGCCACCACATCAGCTTGGAAGAGGACCCGGAGCCTCAGATGAGACCCCAGTCCCAGCAGATGCTTTGATTGTAGGCTGTGAGAACCTGAGCAGAGGACCCAGCCGAGCAGAGGACCCAGCTAAGCCGTGCTTGGGCTCCTGAGCCACAGAACTGTGACGTAATAAGCATGCGTTGTTTTCAGCATCTACGTTTGTGGGAATGTGTAATGCAGCAATGTCGTTGTTGTTAGCTATTGTTGAGTCTGCCCCCGACTCATGGAAACCCCATGTACAACGAACTCACACTGTTATGATCCATAGGGTTTTCATTTGCTGATTCTAGTCCATCTTAGTCTGGAAGCTCTGCTGAAGCCTGTTCAGCATCATAACCCATTGCCATCAATTCTGACTCATAGCGACCCTATAGGATAGAGTGGAGCTGCCCCTTTTCCAAGGCTGTAATCTTAACAGAAGCGGACTGCCACATCTTTCTCCTGCAGAGCAGCCGATGGGTTTGAACCACTGCCCTTATGGTTAGCAGCCAAGCGCCTAACTACTGCGCCACCAGGGCTCCTTGCTCAGCATCACAGCAACTGCAAACCACCTCTGATAGATGAGAGGTGGTTGTGCTTGAGGCGCATGAGCAAGGAATCAAACCTTCCCGCATGGAAGGCAAGAATTTTACCACTGAACCTCCACCGCCCTCTATGCAGCAATAGGAAACTAATACACTTACCCATCATACTGGCAAAACTACAAAAGCAGGCAACACTGTGTGTTGCTGAGCTGGGCCCCCGGGCTCTCTCATACATTGCAGGTGTGTGTGTGTGACGTGGCTTACTGCCTGTCATGGAACGTCTGGCTACATCTAGCACAATTACAGCTATACCTGCCCATTTGGTCCATCAATCCCACTTCTGAAAATCGATCCTGCACATTTAGCGAACAGTACCCACTTCATTACGATGTTGTGATGGTTAAGAAACGGGCTAATTCTCATTGAGCACTTTGAACTCTACCTGGAATATGGCAGCTACTCAGCAACTGTTAGCTTCCACCACCACCATCATCAAAATCATCATGATTATTATCGTTCTACAGATGAAGGTAGCAAGGGCCAGATAGGTAACATGAATTGTCCAGATCATACTGTTGTTTTTGTTGGGTGCTGTCAGATTGGTTCTGCCTCACAGCGACCCTGTGTACAACAGAACGAAACACTGCCCGGTCCTGCGCCACCCTCACAATCGTTGTTATGCTTGAGCCCATTGTTGCAGCCACTGTGTCCGTGCATCTCGTTGAGGGTCTTCCTCTTTTTTGCTCACCCTCTGCTTTACCAAGCATGATGTCCTTCTCCAGGGACTGGTCCCTCCTGATAACATGTCCAAAGTATGTGGGATGAAGTCTCGCCATCCTCACTCTGAAGGAGCATTCTGGCTGTACTTCTTCCAAGACAGACTTGTTCGTTCAAATCATACTACTAACTATGAAGCAACACAGAAGAATTCTAACCTCCTAGCAGCTAGTCCTGTGTTCTTTCCACTGTTCCACACAGCCCATGATGGCCTACGCTGCACTATTCTACACTGTACTATCTTGTGCATAAAGTCTTCATCAGGCACATACCTTAGAAAGGAAAGAACTCAGAGATGAGAACACCTAGAAGGGCCAAGTTTAGAAGTCTCAGGCAAGGTCATATAGGTCAAAGTGGCTGCTGACACTTGTCATTTTACTGTCGTTGTTAAAGGTTCCTACACCCAATATATCCGCCCTATCTGGAGCCCTGACAGCACAGTGGTAAAGCGTTCATCTGCTAACCGAAAGGTTGGCAGTTCAAATCCACCAGCCGCTCCTTGGAAACGCTATAGGGCAGTTCTAGTCTGTCCTATAGGGTCGCTATGAGTCAGAATCGACTCAACGGCAACAGGTTGGGTTTTTGTTTTTATCCGGTGCTATCCCTAAGATTTCTTTTAGATGAGGTACAACTTTTCATTACAAAATAAAAGATAGTATTTAAATTGTAAAAACTCCACCTGGCATTTATTCGTATCGTTGTTGTCCGCTGTCATCGAGTCAGCCCCCGACTCGTGGCAACCCCACGCACAACGGACTGAAACGCTGCCTGGTCCTGCGCCATCCCCGTGATCAGCCGCATATTAGACCATAGTGAACCAGAGGGCTTTCTTTGGCTGATTTTCAAAAGTAGATTGCCAGGCCTTTCTTCCTAGTTCATCATAGTCTGAAAGCTCCCCTGAAACCTGTCCAGCATCAAAGCAACATGCAAGCCTCCACTGACAGATTGGCTGGGAGTCGAACCCAGGTCTCCTGCATGGAAGATGAGAATTCTACTCCTGAACCACCAATGCCCCATATTTACGTCATTCATATCAAAATATTACTTTTAATAAATGCAAACATCAGATAACAGCATATAAACATATAATAATAATAACATAGTAAACAAGAACATAAGCGCATCGACCATGGAGAAGGGGTCATTGAGGTGTGGAACGGAACAGTAGACATCAGATGCTTCGGGTATCGAAATCCAACTTCCCTTTCTCACAATTTGCCAAGAGCAGTAAGAACACCTCCTGCGGGCCCTACAGCCAGAAAGGGAGTAGAGCTGCACCACGAGCCATTTCATGGATGAGGAGCCGGGAAAATGACGGAGAGCTTTTTGCTCCTTCCACAAAACACCAATGCCACTTCAGAGCTGAGTCAAGCTAGGTCTAGAGCCGTGAAGAAAACCATCGTCCCAGGGACCCTGTGGGAGAGCCAGTAAAACTCTCTGATGTCACATCTTCTCCTGATTCCTGTGGATGTTCATTACAAAAAAAAAAGTCCTTGTACAGATATTTTTTATAATCCCAATTTTTAC